GGAACAAAGGACCTACGCAGGTCTTTACATCATGGTAGTTGAGAAGATTATAGGGTGGCCTCAGCGTACTTTGGGACGCCTGAGCATCCTCCATGTGCCTTAGCACATGAGAGCTAAGAAGGCCTCCCACAGGGGGTGCTGTCCATTGCACCCTAAAAGATCAACTACAACCAGCCAAGTGACGGAGACCAGGAAGGGCACTGCAGTCAGAGAGAAGAGCCTGGTAGACTTCTCAGGCAGATGGTGCACATTTCCCCCTTAGGTCTCAGAGATGAGCTTCCCACTGGTTAGCAATGGAGCCAGGATGGAGATTCAAGCCCTCTGTGCCGAGGCAGTGTTCTTTCCCAAAGGACAGAAAAAGAGATCTCCTTTTAGTCTAGGAGTCCCAGAGTCCAGGGGCAGAGTTTAGGGGTCTGTCATCTTGAATGAAACCAACACTGCATCGGTTACATTTCTCTTCTTGAGAGAAAATACTTGACATGCAAAATTAGAGGAGGAAAGTTTTATTTCGTTTACAGTTTTTGGAGGTTTCAGTTGATACTCAGATGGTGCCAAGGCAGGATGGTTTGCCTGAGGGACAGCTATTCACACCAGCTGTAAGTGATAAAAGCTAAAGGGCACAAAAGGGAAAAGTGGTCCTCCTCCTCTCCCTTTCTGGTATGCTGGCTTCGCCCCTGGGCAGGAGCAGCACTCACACCACCAATCCCAGCACTAGAAAATGAACCAATCACAAATGATTCAGCTGCTTCCATGACTGCATGAAGCTTTCCGGGAGACACTCAGACACAAACCATAACAGCCATGCTTTGAAATGAACTCCTTTCCTAGGTCTAAAAGGATGAAGTTAGAACAGAAGTCTGAGTCCTGCTGGGGGCTAACGACAGACTGAGTTTCTGACCCTCAGAGTCAGGTCACAGTTCTGAATCCTGCGACATCAGTGATAGCTGAACTCCACTCTGAGACTTAGATGGAAAACTCTGTGGTTTGCCAGGGAAGAGCATGAAGAAAACCTGCAACTCTGCAGGCAAGCACACTGTTCCATCCTCTCCTGGCAACACATTCTGGGTGACAGCCCATCTTCCAGGTGAGGTGTCTCTGCTATGTAGTTTCCTAATCTACAAGGTAGAGGCGATGATATAAGTACTGTGGCAGGAAAGTAAGGAGGCAATGGGGACAAGAGTATTTTATCAATCACCAAATATGCTACTAAGACTCAGTCTTTACCCTGCAGTCCATCAACTGAGTTCTGATAGGTGGAAATACCTTCGTGGACCAGGAATTAAGAACACAGATTTCAAGGTCTGCTCTTACTGGTTGTGTTATCTTATGCAAACAATGTAATCTCTGGGACTTAATTCTCCTCTGTAAAAAGGTAGGTAAAAATAATACCTATGTCTCAGGGGTTCTGGCAAGTTTGGTTGAGTCAAAGAACTCAGGGTACCTAGGAAGATGGTTCCACCTGAGCTTGTATCTGAATCACTGAGGGCTTGTTAAACACTGACTGCTGGAGCCCTCCCCAGCACTTGTGATCTAGAGGATCTGAGCTGGGGTCTGAGAATTGGCACATCTGACAAATTACCTGGTGATGCTGATGTTGCCCTTCTGGGAAATGATACTTTGAGAAGCACTGGCTCTGAACAATGCTGTATAGTCAGTATCTAACAAATGTTGGTTCTGATCTTTTCCTGGGATCTATTTCCTTAGTTCCCAAGCAAAACACTTTCTGCTCCAGTGTTGCTCAGCACTGCCTTGTGTTGAAGCAACTTTGAAATCTTCTATGGGTGGTGGGTCTCAAAGTGGGGGCCCCCAGCAGCCGGTGCCTGTGTCAGTTGGCAGCTGGCTTGAGATGGAAGCTTTTGGGTTCCAGCTTGGATCTACTGAGTCTGAAACTTGGGGGTAAAGCTCAGTATCCTGCTAGGTTTGAGAACTGCTGACCTAGAAAGTCACCATTACATGAGAACAAACCTTACTGAAAATGCTGGGGAAGAGGAGAGCTGAAGGTTTACAGTACAGGTTTGGTTAAATCGTAGTGTAAAACCTGGCTCAGCTTCTTAGTTACCTTGTATCCCTGAGTTATAACAATACTTTGAGGGTCAGTTTCCTCACCTGGGAAATGGGCACCATTCCAGGCCTTACCTCACAAGAAATGCTTGATACTTGTTCAAAGAATGTTAGCTGCTCTTACTATAATTTTTACAATCATAATGCTATCACTTAATATGGTTTCAGAGAGTTTAGAATAAAGAATGAAAACTAATAATTTTTAAAAAAAGAAATAAAGGCTTGCCAGACTCTGGGTTCTAAGCAAGTGGGCACCATCAGTCCCAGAGGCTGGGTGGCCTGGGGTGATTGTCCCCCGCACCTTCCCCCAAGCCCAGCTAGCTTGGCACCCTCACTCGGCCAGGACAGGGAACTTCATGGCTTCTGGGTGCACTGGACCAGCACAGCGGGTCCTGAGTGGGCCTGCAACGGCCTCCTTGCTCCCGGCCGTGCTTGGCGGACTCTGGAGTTCTAAGTAAGCAGGTGCCATCAGTTCCAGAGGCTGGGTGGCCTGAGGTGAGTGTCCCCCACATCATCCCCCAGCCCAGCTACTTTGGGATCCTCGCTCGGTGCCCGGGACAGGGAACTTCACAGCTTCCTGTTGCACTGGACCAGCTCAGTGGGTCTTGAGCCAGCCTGCTTCATCCCCAGTTACCCTCTCTCAATCTGGGGAACCAGGCAGCCAGAGTCCCAGGAGCTGAGGGCATAGAAGAGGATTTCCAACAGACATTGGGGAAGCCTTGGAATAACCCACTTTAAACACAGGAATATAGGAAAATGACAAAACAAAAGACCAAATTACAATCTCAAACCTCCAGCCAATCCCAAGACACCATGGAGCTATGTACATAGAAGAATACACTTGAAATATCGGACATAATAACAACTGAAATAAAGAAGCAACTCAGGGAAGCTATAAAGGAATTCAAACTAGAAATAATCTCCCAGGTAAAAGAAGAAATGATAAAAGAAATGAAAGAGATGCTGAATATATCTAAAGAAGACACAGTTAAAAAATTGGAGGAACTAAACAAAAGATAGAATCCCTGAATGAACAATATAAGAAACAAACAGAATACATAAAGCAGATGCAAAGAGATATAGAGGAAATCAAAAATTCCATTGAAAGTTGTAAAAACCGCCTCAATGAAAGTGAAGATAGAATTTCAGACCTCGAAGACAAGATTGTAGCTAGTGAACAGAAAAGGAAAGATCTTTTAAAAGTAACAAAGAATCAGGAAATAACAATTCAACAACTGCAAGATGATGCAAAGAAAAACAACATAAGATTGATAGGGATAAATGAAAAAGAAGGGGACAACATAAAGGATGTCAAGAGTATATTTAGAGAAGTAATAGCTGAAAATTTCTCAAACATGATATTGGAAACCGACATCATGATCAGTGAAGCATATAGAACTCCAAATAGCCATAACCAAAATAAAACTACACCCAGACATATAATAACCACCATCCCAGAAATCCATCATAAGAATAGAATATTAAAAGCTGTCAGAGAGAAAAGACAGATCACTTATAAAGGAAAACCTATCAGAGTTACAGCAGACTTCTCAGCACAAACAATGAAGTCAAGAGGATCATGGAGTAAAGTATTTCAGATCCTAAAGGAAAATGATTTCCAACCTAGACTGATGTACCCTGAAAAACTGTCCTTCAAAATCAATGGAGAAATAAGATACTTCCATGACAAAGAACAGCTGAAGAACTTCATGATCACCAAACCAACCTTGCAAAGAATACTGAAAGACAGTTTAGATACACTTAAGAAAAAACCACTAAGCAAAACAGACAATTAAACAGAACAGAAAGATAAAGATGCAACAGCAGAAAGATAACATGTCAACAATAAACCAACATATAACAGTTATAACCATTAATGTAAATGGTCTCAATGCACTAATTAAAAGAAACAGACTGGCAGAATGGATCAAGAAACAACATCCAACCATATGCTGTCTATAAGAAACACATCTAACCCAAAAGGATACTCACAGACTGAAAGTCAAAGGATAGAAAACAATACTTCATGCAACAGGGACCCAAAAAAAGCGGGGGTAGCTATTCTGTTTGCAGACAATGTGAACTTTAAACCAATAATGATCAGAAGAGATAAAGGTCACTACATACTGGTTAGGGGAAATCTTCAAGAGGAAGTGATAACTATCTTAAATATATACGCACCAAATTCCAGAGCACCCAGTTATGTAAAACACACCATTGACACCAAGGGACAGATCAACCAGACAGAAAATCAGCAAAGAAATAACAGAACTGAATCACTCCTGTGAACAAATGGACTTGATAGATATATACAGAATGTTCCATCCAACAACATCAGAATACACATTCTTCTCAGCAGTACATGGGTCATTCTCTAAAATAGACCATATATTAGCTCACAGAACATATTTAAATAAATACAAAAGAGTTGAAATTATCCCTTGCATGTTATCGGATCATAGCGCTATGAAATTAGAAATTAATGATAAAAGATGCTACAAAAATCCCACAAACACATGGAAACTGAATAACACACTTTTGAGTAATCAGTGGGTCACAGGGGAAATTAAAGAAATTAAACCATATCTACAAGCAAACGAAAATAAAAAAAGAAATACAGACATCACATAGAAAGTGGAGCAGGTCAAGGTCATGGTCCTCTAAACTGAGGTCTGCACTTCCCTGGGGGCCAGAGCCAAAGGCAAAATGTAGAGGTTACATGGGCCCAGCTCTCTCAAAAGGAAGGAAATTGGCTGCTTTGGAGAGACAGCATGGTCTCTCGCCACACAGCACTAAGTTCCAGGAGAAGCTGTAAAAGGCCCCATGCGACAGGGCAAAGTCTCTGCTAGCAGTGCTTCCCGTGCCTGTTTCTTTAATTCTCAAACAAGAGCCCTGGGCAGAATCCTTGGACCCCAGAAGATGAGAGATTTTACACTCACTTTGGGTGCCGGATGTCAGGGAGAGAGCGATTCAGGGAGATTTTATCACTGACGTAGATGTTAAATCCATTTTCTCGGTATGCCTGGTCCACTCTCTCTCCTTCCGTCATGGGGTAAGGTCTTCCCTGTTCTCCGTTTCCTAGAGGCAAAGAGTCGGTTCAGTATTGCCTTTTACTGGCTTCTGTGGGAAGTATCGTGCATGGGGAGGGGAAAGAAGGCTGGGAAATGTGATTAAATCACAAAGATGCGACTTCATACTTGCATGCAGGGCAGGGAGTCTGCAGGGAGGACTGGGAAGTAGGGGAGGGCAGCGGGCATTCATTCAGTCTTGGTCCTGCCATGTACTTTACAGATCTGGTTCTCATGGAGTCTCCATAGCAACCCTGTACAGCGGCCATGACAGCTCTCATTCTACAGACGAATACACTGAGAACCACAAAGGTTATAAAATGGGGAACCCATGGTCCCTCTCCTCTTTCAGGAGTCCTAACCATCCCTAATCTTTGTACCCTGAACAAGAGGCCAGGTCTACCGTCTATGGGTCCATCAACCTTGTGCAGATCACCTCTGGTTTCTAAGCTGTAGCTTTTTCCTCTAAGGCCCAGAACTTGTTTGGGAGAATCTAATGAGAGGATCATGTGTGAATGCTTTTTGTAAGCTATAAAACACTGTAAAGTGTGAGGAAAGTGATCACTTTATATGTAATTAAAACTTTATATGTAATTCAAACTTTATATGTAAATCAAAGTTGCCACACATGACAAAAGATGCTTTTATTTTTTTGCAAGTGAGCAAACAAATGAAGAGCTGCCTACTCTCAGCCAGGACTGCCTGCAGAGTGTTGCTTTGGGTCACAAATTTGGGGGAGAAAGCCAAATTTCCTCTTTCTGCACAATCCACCTCAGGGGAGAGTCCCTGATGCCTCAGGAAAATATTCTCTGGATGCCCAAGGAGCAGACTGACCCCATCGAAAAAAATAGGTGGTTAAACATCTCTTTCTCCTCTGGAGGTGGAAGTGTGAACTATCTGCCATTTACTCTGCAGGGTAAACACTGACCTTGCTGGCCAGGAAGGCACAAGCTGAGGGTGGAGCCCAAGGGCTGTGGCTACTCCAGTTCAGCCAGATGATGGAAAGGACCCTGCTTGATGTCCTAGGACTGCTCCATGATACAGTGTTGAGGACCAGGGTCCAGGATAGAATCCCTGAAGGACACACATGAAGCAAGCAGAAAGACAAGACCTGAAGGTTTGTCCAAGGGACTGTGTAGAGGACGCAGACTAGCCCTGCTAATCCCCAGGATGTCATCATGAGCAAGCTTGTGGCTTTTCGGCTCAATCTATGTCCTTTGTATTAACCGGAATAAGAAGGTTCACTGGGATGATAGAGGAGATAACTCAGCGTAGGATCCCTGGCACTTTGTAGCTGTGCTCTCCTCCTGCTCTTCCTTTGTTTCTCTTTCCTCTTTCTTTTTTTTTGCCATGCTAGGGATTGAACCAAGGCCCCATGCATGCTAGGCAAGCACTCTTATCACTGAGGCACAACCAGAGCTCTTTGTATATATGAGTCAGGATCTCACTATAATGCTGGGGCTGGCTTTGAACCTGTGATCCTCCTGCTGTGATGCCCTGAGTAACTGGCATTATAAACATGGACCCTCACACCTGGCTGGTTATTATTCTTAACATCCCCACTGCTCTTCCCTTTACTGGGTGCCCCACTGTTCTAATAATTCTGGAATGATCAGCTCTTTGTCTGGCAAATCAACTCTATGCAAATATTTCCTGTCTTAACTTAAGCAGAGCTCCTTCCCCTTTAATTTTAAATCACTATCAACACAGAAACTTGTGTCTTGTCTGTAGAGTCCTCTGGCCATTCATTATTATACCACTTCTCTTCAGAGCCCGTGGTAACATAGGTGGGGGCCTGGCAGTGTGAGGGGGCAAATGGATCAGAACAGCAGGGAAGGGGACAAGAATCAGGAGAGAGAAGGGTGGTAGACACGGGAGAGGTCGGCAAGAGGAGCACACACACGTGCTGACACGTCCACCTGCACACACACACCCATGCCCACAACCATCATGGAGCCCTCCCCACCGCGACCCTTGCGTCGTACCCACGCGCTGGGCATCCCTCCTGATGGCCTCCTTATCATGCCAGTCCTTCAGCTTCTGCCCATCTCCCACGAAAGAAGCCTTCTTCTGCCGACTGTGCGAGCCCTGGAGACAAGAAAATCAGACAAGGTCAGTGACACAGCTCTGAAACGACCCCGCCTCTGGGAGCCTGTGGGATGGACTGTGTGTCTTTGTGACTGGCCCGCTCCCTTGGTCTGCCAGGTGCCAGCTGGGAGTGCAGGGTTCAGTGAGAATACAGAACTCAGGGTGCATCTCCAGGAATCCCCACAGCTGACTGAGACAGCAAAGAAGGGCACAACCCTCATCCTGGGGGAGAAAGTGCTACACGGAGTGGGTATCACCTGACAGAAAAAGGTGTGAGCCAGGTCTGTCATTTGAGATTTCCTATTTTCCAAGTTAAAAAAGAAATAGGTGAAATTAGTTTTAGTGATGTACTTTAATTAAGACACTGAGTGGAATATTATCATTTTAACATGCAATTCAGAAGAAATTATTGACACTGATTGATTGATTGGCACTAGCCTTTGACTGACATCCAGTAGCACTGCATACCTGTGTTCAGGTGAGATCCATCTCCATGTTCTCAAGCCTCAGGTGGTCGCAAGCTACACTGTGACAGGGTGGAGGCAGGGACTCTTGGGAGAGCGGCCCAGAGCTCATCTCTGCTCGGAGGGACAGAAAAGGTTTTGTGGGCATGAGGAGATCCGCTGGCCTTGGACAGGAGCGGTAAGGGGTGGGCAGGGAAATGGCCTGGGCATAACTGCATGGCACAGGAGGAGAAGGCAGATCTGGGTTGGACTTGAGGGATGGGAGATCTGGGCACAGAAAGAGAAACTGGGACTTATCATCTCGGTAGTGCCAAGGGCCCAGCTTCTAAAAGGGCGAACGTCTGGCAAATGTGTGAGAGTATATGACCAACAATCGAGAGGCTGACAGACCAAAAAATATACACAGTGGCCCCAAGAGAGTAGCCCCAAGAGCTGGCCTATGATGGCATTTACCAGGTACCCCAGGAAGTAAGCCCATCCTACTGGGCCTATTGGGCCCCTAATTTAAAAAGGCCACATTTCTGGGTCCAGTGTCAACCCACGGGGCCAGTGTTTTCCCACGCCAACAGACAAGTCCAGCACCCCACACAGCCTGCAGTGCAAGTCCATTTAAGCTTCTTTCAGGTGCATGTAAATGTCAGTGGCTTTCCAGGTCACCTTGCTCATTAAAATCCTGCAGACTTGTTCATGCCATTATGGCAGCAGAATCCAACAGTCCTATTTCCTATATAATTAACTATGAAAGTCTTGAGCTCATCTTTCCAATAGCAAGTTTTCTACAATGGTCCAGCATCCTTACAGACAATGGTCGTTCATACTCCCCCAACAGGCCTTTTTAAACTGCAAGAGGATAATTTTGGAAGTCAGAGTATTCGATGTCTTGGTGAAACACAGCAAGAAAAACAAAAGCCATGTGCCTGCAAACAGTCCCAAGGTTCTTGGAAATCACAGAAGTTGAGGTGGGAGGTCCTAAGGGACTCTAATCAGTTCAGAGGGCTTCAGCTGCCCGGAGCTATGGCTCTGCAGGAGGCACCTCAGGCACTGCCTGGGAAGCACAGCCTGGAGAGGGGCCTGCCACCCCTTCACTCAGAGCAGAGTGCATCTGTTTCCTCTACTGGGTTTCCATTTGAAAACCTTCTGCTAAAAGCGAACCTGTGACACATCTCCCAGACAAACCAATGCATCAGGAAGTGGCAAGGCCATTTCCCTTTGTGAGATAGAGAAATCAGTTTGGGTGTGAGCCAGGCAACTGGCCAAGGTGCTACTCTGCTCCTGTAGTTGCTGGCAAATGCTCTCTGGTGGCTTTTAGGAAATTTGGGTTTTGTTGTTGCTGTGTTTGTTTGTTTTGGTTTTTAATTTCAGCCTCAAAAAGTAAGAAAATTTCATATCGTTTTATCAAGATGTTTATTTTCTTCTAAAGATCCACAAGATAAGTCAACACTTGGGTGGCACCCCCCACCCGCTGCTCTGCAGCTGGGCTGAATAAGGGTGGAATTTGTCTCTCTGGTTTGCTGTGGGCTCCCCGTTCCTTACTGTTTCACTTGGTGCTCATCCCTCACTTGTTACCTACATGGCCCCAGGGAGTCTGCAATTTGCTGAGGAATACAGCAGTGTGTCCTGGATGGGAAGATCAGAAATTGTCTGAGGACGAGGAGGTCACATCCCCTGGAGGACAGGGGAGAAGTTATCCTCCAAGGAGGGCCCGTGACTACAGAGTGAGTGCCACCTGGTAGAAGCTGCCGAATAACCAAGCAGTCACCCTATGGTGCAGAAGACACTCCGGAAGTTGGATCAGTGTTAGATGAAACAGGGCCACTTTGAAGAAGCCATCAAAGGAGGGCAGGAGCAGGAAGCCTGCCTGGTCATGAGGATGGGGTGAGTTAGAGCCAGCACTTCTCAGATTTGAATGTGCAGCACAGGGACCTTGTTAGTGCAGCCACAGACTGTCACAGACTGTCGGTCAGGGCGGCCAAAGACCACGCATTTCTAATGAGTTCCCAAGTGACATTAGTGCTGCCATTGTTCAAAAGGTGCTCTGAGTCACAAGGGTTTGGAAATAGAGAATCTCTCCAGGATCTAAGATGCCACGAAGAACTGTTTCCATCACATCCCTTTGAAAGTTGTCTGATACTGCTGAAACTGGGGTTCAGGGATGGATCTTAAAGTCATGACCTCACAGGAGCACCTCTTTCAATCTTGTTCTCAGAATGGAAGAGGAGATTGCTGAGCCGGCAGCTCCATGGCCTTGCCTTAGATATGTGCCTGCCTGCCTCTTCCTCCTCCACCTCTTCCTCCCTCCCCACCTTCCCCCCAGGATCTGCCGAGGTGCCCTGTGCAGTTTTAGGTGGTTACATTAGCTGCACCTTCCGTAAATCAAGAGGACTTAATACCTTGCTGACAAAAGGAGTTAAAAACATCTAAAACATGGTTGTTAGAGTTCTTCAAACACTCGAAGTAAGCAGTTGCTCAGAGACAATTGGTCCATCTTCCCCATCTTACAGGCAGGGAAACTGAAGTCCAGATAGGCCAGGGTATGAAGCCAAGGCCACACAAGCAGGAAAGAGGGTAAGGGCCGTGTCCCTTGCCTCCCAGACTCATTTGTCATGGAAAGAGCCCTTGTGGTGTGACCTTGTGCATGCTACAGACCTCACAGACACCTCAATCTTCCTCCCTGGAAAAGATAGATACCATAAGCTGCCCAAAGGGCATTCAGATGACTGGAGACACTCACAGACAGTGTACCTCACACAAGTGCTTATGCTGCAGAGCTAAATCCCCAGCAACAGACAGTATACCCAAGCACTCTCATAATCCACACATAGATTGTGGATATTCACTCCTTAAAGATATTAAGAGTCTACTACAAACTGACATCTTCTCACCAAGTCACCTGGAGGACTGGAATTTTTTTTTTTTTTTTTTTTTTGTCTTTTTCATCGGTACTGGGGATAGAACTCACGACTGCCTGCTTGCAAGGCAGGCGCTTATGCCACTGAGCTAAATCCCCAGCCCCCGAGGACTGGAATTTTACTATACAGTTTAAAGGGCCTTTAGTAGAGTAAAGAACTGGTTTTAGTTCTAAAATTATGGAGAATACAGAGCCCAGAGGCCCTTGGAACTTGACTCGCAAACCTTAATAAAAACTGTGGTCAACCTCTGGTCAATCTGAGGTCCATCTGTGGCATGTCTACAGACCGTGTGGATGTTTGAACCATCACCAGAGTTTATTGATCCACGCTCTGTACAAAGCAATGTGCTAAGCACTGGGGGTGGAGTTGCTAACAGGGTTTACAGCCAGACTGGTCCCTCTCAAACGTGGTTTCTAGGAGAAAAGTGCCCTCAAATTACAGACATAAATTCCTGGACCTACTGAACCAAGTAAATCGAAGTATCTCAGGAATACTCTGAACAGCGCCCCCCAGAATGCGTTCATACAAGAGATTCTGGTACATGGTAAAGTTGGGTAAATCACCTGTCTAAATCCAGCTGCCTCATTTCACCAACCTGAAAGCCGCGGCTAAACAAGCAGGACAGACTACCCTAAATCCTGTACCTTGTCGGCCTCAAATACCAAACCAGATGGAGCTGTTTTCTTCCTGGGGTGTGCATGGAGCTTCCTGAAGGAAGGCATACACTAGTTTCAGCTCCTCAGTGTGCATACCTGGACCAGTACCTGGCTCATCTGAGGTCGGAGACTGCCGGTTGCCTGGCTGGCTGACTGACTCCTGCTCATCTTAGTTCTAGAGTTGGAAAGGCCTGTTTCACATCTCAGTCCTGGGTTCCAGTTTCCCTGGCTGATACACAGGAAGGAATAACAATAACTGTTTCCATTCTCAGAGGGATCTGTGGGAGATTAACTGAACTAACCTGCACAAAGTATTTTTAGCTCAGTGTCAGAGACAAAGTTAGGTCCTCTCACGGAGAGCTACTAATAATACATGGATATTAAAGAAATGTGATGGCTTAGCTTAATTGTCAGCTTGACAAGATTATGAGACTCGTGGCAAGGTGACGGGATGAGGAGGCTGCTGCGCTCAGAAGAGAACGTGCTGTTAGAAGGGGGGCCTAGCCGGGGATGGGGGCCTGGGGGCGTGACTTGGAGGACAGAGCTCTCTCGTACTCTTCCCCTGCGCTCCGCCTCCCCACCACCAGGAACTGAGCAGCCTTGCTCCGCCATGATGTTCCTGCTTGGTGCCAGCCAACCATGAACTGAAAGCTCTGACAACGTGAGCACATAAACCACTCACCTTTACATTCTGGGTACCAAGTAACAGAAAAACCGACTAATACAAGAGAGTTGATGAACACAAGGTATGTGCTGGTGTACACGATGGCCAGTTTTTGAATAGAAGAAGGAATGGAAATCTAATAATAACACTGTTACAGTGTGTATCTAGATGTACCCCAAAACCTCACGTGGTCATAGGTAGGCTTTTCTCAGAGGTGGCTGGGATCAAGGGTGTATGAGTAGAAAACTGGTCTGCTCTTAGGTTTGGTATAGTTCTGAGTAGGGTTAAGGGATGATGCTATTCGCCT